TCAGGTGTAAAGTTAAAAGTTAAAAATTATAATCTTATAAACTAAAACTTAATTACTGTTGGAGTGAGGGTATATTTTGAAGTGATAGTGGTTTAACATTGGCCTGTAACGTAAATAATTTAAATATTTTTAATTATTACTGAACTTGAAAGAACGAGTATAGAAGACAAAATGTAATAAGGTAAAAATATTGTATAATTTTATTTATATACATTTGTGATTAGACGGAAAAAAACACGAATAATTAAAGAGTAGCTTTATGCCAAGCACTACTGCTGGTTAGAGCGGTCTGAGGGGATACGGAAAGAGGCAGTGACCAGGCTATTGTACCATCTGGACATTCACGTAAGGGACGAAAGTGAACCTCAGCGGTTTAAGATCCCAGGACCTTTCGAATGGGAGTCAGAGTTTTCTCGAGGTCTATCCGCCGGGTAAGAGGCAGTGAACTTCGTCGCACTGAGAAATCTCCATTTCATTAGACTGCGGGATCTGTCCGTTAAATGCAAAATCTCCGATCTGTTCGTTTTCTTCTGAGTGTAGCCCCTGAGTACGTAATCTAATAAGCGCCGATTAAACACGTTTGAATAAACATGAATTCTGTCTCATTAATTAGTCATAAAAATCATCAAGTTGGTTAAACCACCTTCATTTTGTATCGATTTGTGCATCCGTCTGTGTTGGCCCTAAAGCTAATGTCTTTCTGGCGTTCACTCCGATATTCCATCTGCTTCTAAGGGGGCGCTTAATAAAAGGCTTCAACTCAAAATGTGACGTAATATACTCACGGACCCGAATTACTGCATGCTAATGAAATCAGTCTGAGGGTTATCCAAAATCTTTGCACGAGTAAAATAAGCTATCCGATTCGAGCGATAAGGTGTTATAATAGAAGAACATGAGAGCATTGAATGACTGTGACTGACAGGAATCTATGGCCTACCTCGGTGACTGTATTAATGTTATCAGTGGCCTCGAAATGCGTGAATCAACAAAGCCTATTCTGTTTAGCCTAGGCACACTTCTTAAAATACGCCTAATATTATATTTATTTATTTAGTGTTCTGTCTGACGACAGGTCCATATGAACAGGATCCTTCCATCCTTTTCTCGGACTGGGACCTGTTCATATACGTTCTTGGCAGATGATCCAGAAGCGGTTTGCCATTGCCTTCTTCTGTGCGTGAATGGAGTAATTGTTGGGATGCCAATGAGGAAAACTCCGTGTTGCCTAGGCCACGGCCTTGCCCAACACAAGTTATAAATTCGGGCACCACCGGGAATCGAACCCGAGACCCCAGGATTACAAGGCCAGCGTTCTAACCGCTAGACCACCGTGGCAATTTCGCCACAGTACATGATTTATAATCATTTTCGTCATTTGAAAATATATAATCTACGTAATACATACAGTGTCGTTAAATGAACAAAGATATACAGACGGCCTTGGAGTGACTGAATTTAGATGCAGGACTTAAAAACGCTCTTATAACCAGCCATCGGTCTGCTGTTCTATCCCCGGGCTGAGATTTTAACATCTCCCTTCATCCATTACCAATGCAAGTGAAGAATCTAAGACTTTAATTTCTTTCGTCTGAAAATACGCCGTATTTCTAGAAGTACAGTGTTTAATCATTTAATAACTCAACAAAACAATTGATTATTTTAATAATTTAAAAATGCAGTGCTATCATTAGCATCGCATAAGAATTGTACTATTACATTATTAGATAATTAAGAATATGTAGTAATGCTCATATAAATCTTTGTTTCTGTCTTCAAGCACTGCGAATGGGGGATTTTATCCGTTTCGCTCGTTAAATAGATCTTGTCATCATCAAGAACGAGGTTGGCGTAATAAACCTGCCTCTTCCCACTCCCTGAAGACAGAAAATTAACCTCCGAAACATCGTATGGCCTGTGGGCTATTTTTATAGTTTGACAATAGACAATGCCCAGGGACGGGAAAAGATTGGCAGGCGTTCATTGTTTGCGATAATAAATCAGTGGATTCCATAATGTGATGGAGACTTAGACCCAGGGACATTCATCCGGTCACGGAGAATTAACCGCGGATAATGTTTGCTGGGAGCGATGTATTTGGGTCGGAGAGTATCTGAAAGGAGCACTTAGGGAGTGGATGTCGCTCGTCTGGAGAGTTATGGCTCAGTGGGAACGAGAGAGAGCTGAGACGAGGCTCGCTAATTCTCTGCTAAGTGCCGGCAAATTACGGCCTGAACCACTGCATGGAGATATCTGCGTCCTCGGTGCAACAGTGGCACGTGACGCGACGCCACAGACTGCTGGTCCATTTCGCCCAGCATCTTTTCTCGTTTCACTCTTACCACGAACAAAATGCCATCGAGTGACATTTTTCCACGGTATTCTGCCGGAACTGGTCTATTGTCGGCAACAAGGCCTATTTGAAACCCGTATCATCTATTTTTCGCGTGTCTTGCAAATCGTTTGTATTTAATTAATTATTCTTGTCCATCTAATCACAATTTAAAATTTAAAATTAAAATTAAGATAATTAAAATGTAAATCGAATGTTTCGATAGGAACATCACATGATATTTTAATTATCTTAATTTTAAATTGTGATTAGACGGACAAGAATAATTAATTAAATATATATTTTCACAATATGACGCAACTATATCATCTTATGAAATCGTTTGTAGAAAAAAAAAAATGTACCGAAGAAACACGAATATTTTATGGCTCGCATTAGTGTTCTTCGGTGAGGAACCAACGGGTTTGAAGTTCGCGTAAGTTGATTTTAGGCTGCGTGCCATCTGCTTTAACATTTCATGATTCGGAATTTTGTCCACGGGATACAGACTTCAATATCACAAAACAAACAGCCGGGCCTCTTAAGAACAGAAAAGAGCCTATGGTATGTTTATTTGCTATTATTTATTATTTTAGTTCATTTTGTTTTCTATATTCAATCATATTTCATTAATGTTTTCGAATCTTTTACTTCACAGACTGGTATAAACATTAATAACACCACCTCAACAAATAATGTTATATTAATAATATCTAAACACAACTTCCATAAAATATACTGAGAAAGATGATAAAATTATAAAATTGTAAAAAAACTATAAATAATTGTAATTTGAGTTTAAAAGTTTATAATTTACACCTGATGACGGTTTCATAAAACCGAAACATGTTGTGAATGTTCCGATGTAAATCGAATGCTCGATATGGAACATAAGATGATATTTTAATCATTTTAATCATCTTATCTTACTATTTTATTGTGATTTGACGGTAAACTAATATAATAATTATTTAAAGAGCCAATCTTTGTTACGCGGACGCGTTCTGTTTTCTTTGAGGTAGGAACTGAGTTCTTCAATATCATTTAAATGAACCTCTTAACACTTTGAAGCCTAAGGAGAGAGAGAGAGAGAGAGACAGAGAGAGAGAGAGAGGCGTCGGGATGGTAAGGCGTAGAAGCTTGAGATAAAAATTTCACTGTATTTGTCTTAAGCTTATATTCTTTACCGGCTCATAAAAATTATGATCGTTTTAAACCTCTAGAAACAAAATGTCTCTCAGTTCTCCTCCCAAATGTTTTGCATCTTTTGTGTTTCCAAACTCTCTCTCTCTCTTCTTCGAGCTTCAAAGGGTTAATGGCGACGTCACTGGACATCAGCGCTTCGGAAGGCGTCGGTTCAGTTATTAAAGCTCGGGGCCTCGTAGAACAATTAACTTCAACTGTGTTACGAATCAAAAGACCTATTAATTAATTAACTCCGTGGAGCAGAGACCTTCTTCAGGTAGACCTACTGACATCTAGACAAGGAAAATTAATACTTTTTTAATACGATTCCATTGCCCGGACACTTTTAGATATTAGTTAACAGACGTCTCCCCTGTAAGTTAGTACTTACTCTAGCCTGTAGATGTCTCTTTTCAAGAACTGACTGTACCATGTATTAGGTTTTACCATCATTTATTCCTAATTCCTAAGGCCTAGTATTATGTTGGCGCCTATGATGAGGTTCGCAGGTGACATATTTCGATTCATTTCCAATTTCTCGAGAAGGCTGGTGGACTAGACTTGTATTTGGAATAAACTCGGTTCGAATCTAAGACGAATTTCAAGCTTTTGGTCCTGAAAGAATATATTTGTCGTTTCTACAGCTGGATAACCACAATCGTCTTCTTCTAAATCCTTGCCTATTTGATGTAATAGTCCTTCAACGACGTATTTTCATAGTGAAACTATGAATAGGAGAATTATAATTTAAAATGTGTCACGACCACTTCAATTTTTAACTATTCTCTATCTATAAAAAATTTCAGGGCCCTTTAAATTCTACACAGACTCAACAGAGCTAGATTATTACAATTCAATTTACATTACATATATTTTTTCTGTTTATATCATAAGATAAACGCCTTTAATGGTTTATATTTGTTTAAATCTTGTCAGTCTAATCACAATAAAATTCCTATTAAATATTAAAATATTACCACAATTAACATTTAAATATTTAAAATATATTAAATGATGTTCTCTATCGAAATGTTCGATTTTACATTAGATCATCACTTTTTTACACGACATGTTTCAGTTCTAAAAGAACCATCTTCAGGTGTATAAAAATTATATAAACTTAAATATAATTTCTTAAATGCAACTTTTTAGTCAGATGTTTATCGGATTTCAAATGATGTTTTCTTGTGTTTTAATGGTTTAATTAAGCCATAAAATATTTTCTTGTTTTTTTTTAAACGTTACAGGCAAATTAAATTGTAGATCATCATATAAATTGCGTTGTTCCTGTCTTCGAAAAACAAATGTGTTCCATTGAGACGCTCTTGCATGAAAATTACTGTGACAAATTAGTGGAGATCATTCCTGGCTTGGGATTGGATATAAGCTTAACCAATGGTAGACAGGATTATGGGCGTTACTCCGTGTTCTAGCTCCTCCCAATCCGGCTGGCAGATGTGAGCAGAACAACCAAACAGATCACTTGTTTGGTTTATAGGTTAGGACAATCAGTGTGTTGCATGTGGTGAGATGATAATGTAGGTTTCCAGCTGAAGATCAGACTGATAAACATTTTTCTTCGTGTTTTAGCAGTGAAACTTATTTTTTTCAAGTTAAATTCGCATTTTATGAAAACATTCACGTGATGATGATGAATCAAGATGTTAAGATAAATCCAGAAAACTATAAACAAAGCTTCTGATTCAACTTTATGAAAGTTGTAATTGAATATTCAAAGATATGTTTTGTCAGGTATTAATATACTAACTGGTGTTCATCTTATGTATTTCGTGGAACAAATATTGTTGAACAGTGCGTGTAATGTGATGTTTAAACCAAGTGTTAAGCGCTGTAAATGTTTAAAAAATCGACTAATGTGTTAATCAAAGAATTTCAAATCGTAAATTCAACATTAACACCAAAGGATTTATAGAAAAAAACGCTCACGAATGTTTACTCCGAAGACAAATGTTCACGAATCGAAATACAGGTAAGACAGAAACGTAAATGTAATCACCTGTGAAATTATACGAACTCCGACAGTGATATGTTGATAGCAGTGATATTTTTCGGGATATTCGGTGTTAATGTAATGTGAATGTAACCACAGCAATCCCCGAATAAACGAATGAAGATTTTAAGAGTAAGTTCCCTTCGTGGACCGACGTGTCCATAGCAAACATGAACCTTGAACTTCAAAATGTAGGTCCAAGTGACGTTTTGAAGAACGGATTTATCGGTTAGTGACACTAACTCCTGTTGAAACAATGGAGACCACTTTCAGTGCAGAACAATTATCAACCCAACCTCAAGCAACATCCACATTATCAACGCCTCTGTCCACGCAGACACCTCAACAAAGATCAAGGAACATTCGACCGTTTTCCATCGAATCTTTAATAGCGACTCGACCGAGTAGTCGTACAAACTGTCAAAACCACGACACGACTCGACTATCAAACACGGACTTAAGTGCAATGGATCTGGTGAGTCACAGGTTAAATATGGCGAGTGTCGGAGCGTGTGGGAACAATATGGCGGCCGCCGTGGCACTTGGGTATCCAGGAGGCATCGGTTTGCCGTTACCACTGTTGTACAATTCTTGGCTGCCGACTTTACAAGCTGGATTGTTCCTAGATCAACAGAGTCATCACATAACACATCCTGGTGCTCACGAATCGATACTTCGAGCACCATCGGGACTCCTGCCTCCGCTTCTGGTACCGCAAGGACCTCCTGGAGGTGTCGGACCTCTTAGCCCAGATTCTGAGGCCTCGTTGTCACCCAACGTCGCCCATGATCTGTCTGGAAGAGGAGTTCCTGGTACGTAATTCTAACACTCTTCTATGTCCAACACAATTCTCTCCATCTGGTCCTCTTCTGACGCTTGACTCCACGCTTAGGCTACGTCTGGCACCAGAATCAATCGCTTCGATGAATATTCATATTAAATTAATCTGAGATCTATTACTTGAAACGTAAAAACGAAGATCCACCATGTAGTAGATATATGTAGACACTAAAGCCTCGAATATTAATGCTCTAAAATATGAGGTGATATTGTTGCGTTATATATTGTGATGATTATAATTGTTTATTTTAACCGTCTAGTCACAATAAAATATTTTATTAAATATTAAAATATTATTACTATAATTAACATTTAATATTTAAAATATATTAAAATATATATTAATTTATATATTAAAATGATGCTCTTTCTATCGAAATGCATATATATTTTAATATATTTTAAATATTAAATGTTAATTATAGTAATAATATTTTAATATTTAATAAAATATTTTATTGTGATTAGACGGTTAAAATAAACAATTACAGCTCTAAAATATGTTGATTGTAATAATAAATTAGGCTTATCGTATTTCATTAGTCTCTCCTTCCAAGTTTATCGCCGTTGCACCCACTCGTACTGGAAAACTTTTTAAAACTACCAGCAGATCAAAGGCCTAATATCTTGGACGGGGACACGATTATCTGACGAAAATATTACAATTCTTAAATGCGTGTTGTTTCTAAAGCGATGCGTTACTGATTCAGGATTCTAAAAGGAATTACGTCTAAATTTCATGTCTGCACCGAAGACACGTTCTCTTAATGTGCCAGGGAGTACAAGAACTCTTAAGGAGACTCTGTTCTAGGTCTTTGCGACATGATCTCATCATCCTGATAACGTAGGCAGCAAGCACTTCTAAAACGTCGATTAACTTATAGGAAACTTCACGGCGTAACACCTCAGAAGACGTCCATATTTGCTCTCGCTGCCTGAAAACGTAAAATCTCACAGAAATTCTCAAAGTTATAAAATCACAGTGTTATGAAATAGAATCTGATGTAAGGACGAACAGAGGTCGAAGACAGTTTCTTCTCCATTGCTGAGAATTCTAAGTAAAGTTTTGTAGGATGTGGTCTAATTAAAGGCGTTGTCAGGAGCTCAGGGTATACGCTATCCAACATTTAATGACGGTGATAGATGATATGGAAAGGATATTAAAGGAAGTGGTCTGGCCTCATTCAAGATACCATGCTGAAATTTTCCCCGAGAGAATGACAAAACCACGAAGAACTGAAGTCAGGTTAGCTGGTCTCCGGACCGAGATTTGAATGCGAGACCTTCGAAATACGAAACGTTCAGTAAGAAAATGAAATATCAGCGCAGGATATTTGTAGATTTGTTAGTCTATTTTAAAGTTGCTAATATTGCAGGAGTTTTATCTTCTGATAGTGACTAAGGCCTAGGCAAATCTATAAGAATGACGGACAACTTAACCTTTAGAAACTCAATCCTTCTATTCCTCAGTGGACGTAAAGTATACACCTAAGATGAAAGTGGTAGTTTCTCTAATGTGTAATGGTGAAATATTTACATGGTGTCATTACACTTTATTGCATGGACTCAACTCTACTCTACGATAACCAGACAGCATTAGTGTAACTCTAAATGTCTCTAACGTGCGTTATGTTCAATGTTATTCTTCTGGACTTGAATCATTTTTTAAAATTTAAAATAATAAATCCTACGTTTTGGGGGTCAGGCTATTCTCCCGTCTTTACGTAAAAATACCCAGTCTTATAGCAACTGTTGGGTTCGAAAAACGGGATTAATCCACGGCCCATTGATAGTTTCTTCTATCGGACCGACCAGTACAGGTAATTTAACCTGAAGATGTGGTTAGCGCCCCTCTGTTCATCAATCTCCGAGTCAGGTGCAGTTAAGATGGAATACAAGGACAAACAGATCAGTCCATGATTGGTCTCTGATAATACAGTTCATGAAGAGATCCCAACCATCAATATCTCCAATTTAAAAAAAAAACATATTAAATACCTCTCATTCCGATCCAAGATTTGAATAAAAATACCGAAAATTGTTATAAAATATTTCGCGAAGGCGAAGGTACAACACATAGGCCTACAGGTTAAGAAATTGGCCGGCAGAAGACACCGTTAAGATAACGAACTTTCTGGACGTATCGATCGTCTTGATTTTTTATTAAAATATTTCGTTACGTACGTAGGCCTACTTAGTATCGACATTTCTTAATATCATTATTAGATTCTGTGGGGTTTGCCTTCGTGCATGGTCCAATTCGAAATAAACTCCCGAAACTTTTAGTCTTTTAGACGTCCGATATGACCCCTTGGACGTGAGATCGGCCCGAGGCGAACAGGACACGTAAGGCCACGAATACACATCCATTCCTCGGCCGTGATTCGTTTAATAAGAGCCTTGGTGCTTACCAGAACCAGAAAACACTCCCGAGGGTTACTAGAATCATACATTTTCCAGCATTCTATCAAAAACACTGGCCTGTATTCAGCTAATTTCTTTTTATTAATTAACGACACTTTATCAACTGCGTACGTGGATGGATTTGACAAAATAAAAGTGTAAGTGTGATTAATAATTTAGAACTGTGTTTCCAGACGAAGCGCTTGAAAGTTTTGCCTTATTTTCTTCAGGTACTATCAGGCCTAAACACATAACAAAAAAGTAAGCGTATTATTTTCCATTTTATCCACTTCTATTAGACCAAAACATTTTATATTTCTCTGTACTATTGTCTGGAGACTCGTTACTCCTGCATAATAGCTCTCATCATTCGACTGTTTGTTACCATGTGCATAATAGTTGCATTTTTTTTTTACAAAAGATTTTGGAATTGTCTACTAATTTTTCCTACATTCTTTCTTTTAATAAAGTTCCAAGTTCTCGTTCATAAATCTAAAACATTTCAGACTACATCTGAGTGTAAAAATCCTTAAATTTGTTAATTACCGTTGAATAGAATATTAATACATTTCATTCATTATTTTCTTTGGAGTAGTAATGCATATCTACACTAAACTTATAATCCGTGTGTGGTAGTTCTAAAATAACCTGAAATTACGTATGAAGTAATTATGTAAAGCGTGCTAGATACTGAGTCAAAGTAAATTAGTCGTAAAGACAAGTACCCATTGGCCCATAATTATTTCATATTCGGTCTGGATTCTTCCATTGCGTTTTCAGAATTGACTCTTCTTCTGTATGTAGAATGACAGGTCTTCATTGCCTTGACACATCTTTTACTGTCGTTAAGACTAGTTTTAACATTTTAGATCAAGTATAGGACCGTCACTACTGACCTTAAAATAATACAATCTTTGTCAATAACTTACAAACCCTTCTAATCGTCTTAAGACAGGAATATAAAACAAAGTATCAGAATTTTTTTAAGCCTATATTAATATTCCTTGGACAATGGACGTTGTTCGACATAACACGACCTATTGGTATAATAACCAACAACTCTCGCAGAATGAGATTTGAGGTTCTCACGTCAGGTAGTGGGTTGTTGGGTTATGTAGTCTGACAGATATTTGCAGACGGTTCAAAGGGTCCTCCTGCCTCCATTACATACTTACGGACTGTAATTAACTTACATGCCATAAGGTGCCATAATTTCCTTGTAAGTTTAGTGTAGTACTTATCGATACGAAGTTATATTTAAATAATAAAACAATCTCGTAAATTAATGACACACACACACAATTTATCCAGGAAATCTCAACCGCGAGGACCGGCTATCCTGATGGAAACAGATTTTCTGTTGTTCTGCTCACTAGATTGTCGAAAATTCAGGATAACCTCTCAATTTTCCACATCACTTACAATTCACAGACCTCAGTTCTCTACTATTCATCGTTTTTACCTAACCTAACCTAGGGAGGAGAACAAGCATCGTTAAATACCCAATAATTATAATTTTTTAACCGACAATTCAACTGCCCTCAGAGCCGAAATTTTCCAGCATGCTCAATAGGCTTTATCCAACTGGTGGAGCCTGATGTTTGGGTTAAAAATTGAAAATAATATCCTAATGATCACAAAGCTCTAACAGAACTGTAAGATACGTTACCGCCCTTAAATTACGAGCCGAATTCTAATGTGTCCTCTTTCCCCTCATCGTAAAAACGTGGGACTTTCCCCCACCATCACTACCTAGAAACAAAATTATTTCATTTAACATAACACAGACCAATATTTCATGATTTGCAAGTAGTGTGGACTTATGTAAAAAAAGGTATCCTAAACACAGACCTCGTAATACGGACAAATGGAACTTCACCAGCAATATTTGTTGCCGATTTAAATGTAATGAGCACTTTGAGTCTCTTAGAGCGTGTGTGGTTGTCATCAGAAGCATCGGAAAAGTTCTGTGCTAGATTTTAAACACGTCACAAGCCCCCTTTCCACCACGCGTTCATTACATTCGGTTCAGGGTCTACAGACAAATAACATTTAAATTAAAATTGTCCATGGAACACGATTAAGAATCGTAACATCGAATACGCGTTGCTGCTTAGCGCTGCTGTTCATTTCAAATATTATTTGTTACTTCCATAACACGCCAGTCGGTTAGAGCTGATGCCGTCTGAATTAAACACCGGCCGATCTGTCGATCATACAAATATTACATATCCTAGTCCATATCGCGTTACAGTAATTGCCTTTCCAGTTACCTTCCACGTAACAGGATTATAACATAATGTTTTTTTGAAATTTTAAAATCACCTTACTTATATTTCTTATGAAGAAAACTGAGCGATTCACCACTACCACGTGATTCTTTAGATTATAATGTCTGGAGAGAATAAAGTAATTTAATATTTTACTAATATTCTAAAGACATATTCTGTAGAAGAAACAGTAACTCGCTATCAGTCTCTTTCTATGATACAGAAGCTAGTTTTCGACCTCTAAACTACAGGCTTATTGAAGATTTCTGTCTTCTGGGTTGTTGCCCTGTGTAGTCTGG